AAAAACTACACCCACCAACTAGTGGAGTGTCAAGGTAGACTAGACTAGACTAGACTAGACTAGACTAGACCTATTTAACGAGTGTGGTTTGTGGTGATCCTAGCTAGACTAATACTAGGCTATACCTATCTGTCTATGGTATCCCCCCCCCCCCCGCCCCCCATACAAATAGTTAACAGAGGGCGCCACTGCGTGTAAGCCGAGAGGAAGTGGCCAGATTTTTGTTGCTAATGGTCGCTCGGGTTGCGACCTACATGATATCACGTGACTCTCTAACGAACTTTTCATTCCTCGGGCCAGGTCGGTCATGTGGTGTTAAATATCACGTGGTCATTAGAGGACACAGGTGTAACGTGGTCAGACGTGATCATCAGCACGTGACCACTGGCACCAGGACCATCACTCCCACCTACCAGCCAACACCAACCACCACTACCACCAACCAGCCAACACCAACCACCACTACCACCTACCAGCCAACACCAACCACCACTACCACCAACCAGCCAACACCAACCATCACTATCAATATCAGCAACAACCACCGCCAACATTCCCTCTCGTATTTTGTGTGCGCGGTGTTCTAAAAGTCTTATACAAGGATATTTTACAAAATGACTGCGCGGGAACACTGACCACCGCTACCACCAACCAGCCGCTACCACCAACCAGCCAACACCAACCAGCCGCTACCACCAACCAGCCAACACCAACCAACCGCTACCACCAACCAGCCAACACCAACCACCACTACCACCAACTAGCTAACACCAACCACCGTTACCACCACTCCCACCAACCAGCCAGCACCCAACCGCCACTACCACCAACTAGCTAACACCAACCACCGCTACCACCAACCGCTACCACCAACCACCGCTACCACCAACCATCTCCGCCCCACCAGCCCTGCCCTTGACCAGCCGCCCAGTGTCCAGGGACAGGACGGAGCCATATTGCCGAGGAGACTGCCGGCCAACTGGGAGCCATGAGCCCAAGCTGATTTCATGTCACTTGACGTAGGCTCCCGACGACCAGATAATCTTTCATAATTTCGTTCAATCGCAGCAGGGGCCAAACAATCATCCATTGATCATTCCCTGATTGCATTAGGGCACGCTGACCCCCCTCCCTCAACCCTCCCTACCCCACTCACTCCTCTCATTTCTTTATGTACACAAACCGTCCTCACTCTTTTATAAATCCTGGATGGTTTAGTACAAATATATATAAATCAACCGTGTTTACAATTTAGAAGTTATTAATTTATAGCAGGCAAATTGTGCGAGAGAGATGGAGAGAGTGGACGGACGCGGGAATTAGTGAGAGAGGACACAGACCGGAAGTGAGGAGACGGCGACAGTTCAGGGGCGGCGACTTTCTGGCGAGGCGGGGCTAAAGGCGGAGACTTGGCCGGATGTCGCGTGTCTTAAGGAGGGGAGGTAACCGGGCCAGCCCAGACACGCTTGGCCGGCTACGGCTCACTGTGGCGGCGTAGTAAGGAGCATGCGCAGTGGGGAGGCATGCGCAGAATAGAAGCATGCGCAGAATGGGAGAGCTCGGGTTGCCAAACGCGTGTCGTAAGCGCATGACGCACGCAATGGCGCGTGGAGGCAATCAAGCGTGAAAATAAAGTCAAATAACAGTACTTACATAGGGGAGGATGACAGTACTCACATAGGGACAGAATGACAGTACTTACATAGGGACATGATGACAGTACTTACATAGGGACAGATGACAATACTTACATAGGGACAGAATGACAGTACTTACATGGGGGAGGATGACAGTACTTACATAGACGAGGATGACAGTACTTACATAGACGAGGATGACAGTACTTACATAGTGGAGGATGACAGTACTTACATAGGGGCAAGATGACTACTTACAAAGAGGAGGATGACAGTACTTACATAGGGGAGGATGACAGTACTTACATAGGGCCATGATGACAGTACTTACATAGGGGCAGAATGAAAGTACTTACATAGGGGAGGATGACAGTACTTACATAGGGGAGGATGACAGTACTTACAAAGAGGAGGATGACAGTACTTACATAGGGGAGGATGACAGTACTTACAAAGAGGAGGATGACAGTACTTACATAGGGGATGATGACAGTACTTACATAGTGGAGGATGACAGTACTTACATAGGGACAGGATGACAGTACTTACATAGGGGAGGATGACAGTACTTACATAGGGACATGATGACAGTACTTACATAGGGGCATAGGGACAAGATGACAGTACTTACATAGGGGCATAATGACAGTACTACTATAGGGGCATAATGACAGTACTTACATAGTGGAGGACGACAGTACTAACATAGGGGCAGGATGACAGTACTTACATAGGGGCATAATGACAGTACTCCTATAGGGGCATAATGACAGTACTTACATAGTGGAGGACGACAGTACTTACATAGGGGCAGGATGACAGTACTTACATAGGGGAGAATGACAGTACTTACATGGAGACAGGATGACAGTACTTACATAGGGGGAGGATGACAGTACTTACATAGGGGAGAATGACAGTACTTACATGGACACAGGATGACAGTACTTACATAGGGGCAGGATGACAGTACTTACATAGGGGGAGGATGACAGTACTTACATCGGGGAGAATGACAGTACTTACATAGAGACAGGATGACAGTACTTACATAGGGGACGATGACAGTACTTACATAGGGGAGAATGACAGTACTTACATAGAGACAGGATGACAGTACTTACATAGGGGGACGATGACAGTACTTTCACAGGGGAGAATGACAGTACTTACATGGAGACAGGATGACAGTACTTACATAGGGGAGAATGACAGTACTTACATAGGGGAGAATGACAGTACTTACATAGGGGAGAATGACAGTACTTACATAGGGGAGAATGACAGTACTTACATAAGGACAACATGACAGAACTTACATAGGGACACGGTGATATATGAGTGGGATGGTCTACAGAAGACACCACTGGTGTACAGAAGACACCACTTGTGTACAGAAGACACCACTGGTGTACAGAAGACACCACTGGTGTACAGAAGACACCACTGGTGTATGATGGGTGTATGACAGCAGTATATGGGTGTATGACAGCAGTAGATGGGTGTATGACAGCAGTAGATGGGTGTATGACAGCAGTAGATGGGTGTATGACAGCAGTAGATGGGTGTATGGCAGCAGTAGATGGGTGTATGACAGCAGTAGATGCATGACATCAGTAGATGTGTGTATGACAGCAGTAGAAGGGTGTATGACAGCAGTCGGGTATGACAGCAGTAGATGTGTGTATGACAGCAGTAGATGTGTGTATGACAGCAGTAGATGGGTGTATGACAGCAGTAGATGTGTGTATGACAACAGTAGATGTGTATGACAGCAGTAGAAGGGTGTATGACAGCAGTAGATGGGTGTATGCCAGCAGTAGATGGGTGTATGACAGCAGTCAGGTATGACAGCAGTAGATGGGTGTATGGCAGCAGTAGATGTGTGTATGACAACAGTAGATGTGTATGACAGCAGTAGAAGGGTGTATGACAGCAGTCAGGTATGACAGCAGTAGATGGGTGTATGGTAGCAGTAGATGTGTGTATGACAACAGTAGATGTGTATGACAGCAGTAGAAGGGTGTATGACAGCAGCAGATGGCTGTATGACAGCAGTAGATGGATGTATGACAGCAGTAGATGGGTGTATGACAGCAGTAGATGAGTGTATGACAGCAGTAGATGAGTGTATGACCTAGCCTTAATGATGTTGACTAACGCTGTGAGTTCATCATTTAAACATCTCTCACATCCAAGTTGTCTAACGCTGTCTATCCATCAGGTTTAGTCACCTCACTATTGCACCACCCCACCACACAATCACCTCACCCCCCACCCCTAATCAAAAATCCCCGTCTCCCATCTTCTGCTCCAAAGCCACTTATGAAAATTAATAATTACACTAACGAACCAAAACACTAATTTTGAAAGTTTGAATAACGCGATGAAAGAAAATGTCTTCGCCAAAGACAAAATGTCGCATTTTTAGTGACGGTAGTTGGGTCATGAAAGTTTTTTCTGGCCATATGGAGAGAGCCGTGAAACCATCCGGCCATTGGCCACCGCGCCTGGAGATTGTATGAGACGCGAACAATGGCGGATCTGTCGTAAAGAGACGGGGAGAAATAAATGAACTGGGCTCAGGTCGACGCCTTCTAGTCTCCCCACCCCCACCCGCGCGGCTCATGCGCCAAGCCGCCCTCCCACATCCGCGCGCGTGCCCGTGTTTTTTACGACGACTTCTCTGTTGCCTCCCCTGCTGGGCCGATAACTCAGGCCGCCATTTTCTGCCGGCAGACTTGCGCCCCCTGTCGTCCGGAAGCTGTCCTGGCCCTCCCTAAACCCAATTTTTAATTCCCTGGTTTCAATTAAGAAAATTAATGCGAGATCAGAAAATATTGATGTACAGTCCAACCGTGGGCCTCTCTCCCCCCCCCAACTCAATCGCTGGCCATCGACACTCCGTAAAATCGTGGAGAAATGGCTGGACAACCCCCCCCCTCCCCCCGCTGGTAAATCTGTATCACCCCCCCCCCCCCCTAGATGGCCTTTTTCATCTGGCCACATCGAGATGTCCATTGAGGATCTTTTGTTTGTCAGTTTTGAAAAGGCTGTAAATGTCCATCTGTACATGACCTTCTAGAAGGATCTACAGTGGAGGGGGGGGGGGGGAGGAGTGCTTGTATTAGAGTGTAGGTCTTACTGAACTAGGGGATACCGACTTTTGCCTTATCATTGAAAAAAATAACAACCGAGGTATCTATTCGTTAGAAGGACAATCACATTGGTGTCTTCTGTACACCAGTGGTGTCTTCTGTACACCAGTGGTGTCTTCTGTAGACCCGCAGTGTCTTCTGTACACCAGTGGTGTCTTCTGTACACCAGTGGTGTCTTCTGTACACTAGTGGTGTCTTCTGTAGACTAGTGGTGTCTTCTGTACACCAGTGGTGTCTTCTGTACACCAGTGGTGTCTTCTGTACACCAGTGGTGCCTTCTGTGCACCAGTGGTACCTTCTGTACACCAGTGGTATCTTCTGTAGATCCGCAGTGTCTTCTGTACACCAGTGGTGTCTTCTGTACACCAGTGGTGTCTTCTGTACACCAGTGGTGTCTTCTGTACACCAGTGGTGTCTTCTGTACACCAGTGGTGTCTTCTGTAGACAGGTGGTGTCTTCTGTACACTAGTGGTGTCTTCTGTAGACTAGTGGTGTCTTCTGTAGACCAGTGGTGTCTTCTGTAGACCAGTGGTGTCTTCTGTACACCAGTGGTGTCTTCTGTATACCAGTGGTGTCTTCTGTACACCAGTGGTGTCTTCTGTAGACTAGTGGTGTCTTCTGTAGACAGGTGGTGTCTTCTGTAGACAGGTGGTGTCTTCTGTACACCAGTGGTGTCTTCTGTACACCAGTGGTGTCTTCTGTACACCAGTGGTGTCTTCTGTAGACAGGTGGTGTCTTCTGTACACCAGTGGTGTCTAGACCAGTGGTGTCTTCTGTACACCAGTGGTGTCTTCTGTAGACCAGTGGTGTCTTCTGTAGACCAGTGGTGTCTTCTGTACACCAGTGGTGTCTTCTGTACACCAGTGGTGTCTTCTGTACACCAATGGTGTCTTCTGTAGACCAGTGGTGTCTTCTGTAGACCAGTGGTGTCTTCTGTACACCAGTGGTGTCTTCTGTAGACCAGTGGCGTCTTCTGTAGATCAGTGGTGTCTTCTGTAGACCAGTGGTGTCTTCTGTACACCAGTGGTGACTTCTGTACACCAATGGTGTCTTCTGTAGACCAGTGGTGTCTTCTGTACACCAGTGGTGTCTTCTGTAGACCAGTGGTGTTTTCTGTAGACCATCCCACTCATATATATGGGGGTATTTTTGTGGTGATAGTGTACACAAGTCTATGGCTGTATGTACACATGTAGATCAATGCGGGATGTGTGTACAGTACACAGTCACGTGTACGGCAGATGACGTCATATCTTCTGCAGCAGAGATGCTAATGCAACTATTCACTGAGCCTCCCACCGATATCAATACCAATTCAAGATGTAACCGCTCGAAAAATGCCGGCTCGCTCAGAAAAATACCGGCTTGTTCTGAAAAATGCCGGCTTGTTCAGAAATTTAACAGAAAAATATGAGGAAAAAATGCGTATCAATGAAAATTGTAATTATGCCCGTCTTTCTTGAATAAGTCGCTTGAAAGAGTTTCAGATCAAACCCGAACTTTAAAAATCAGCTCCATCCCTGGAGCTCAGCAGACGAGGCCTCCAAGGAAACGCCGCCATTATGGGGGTGTGTCCCGCGGGAGCAGGAAGAAAGTGTGCAAAGATCCCATTTCTATAACAACATCATTCTTTAATAAGCTCCTTTGATTTCCGCCGGCCGAGTTTGACAATAAAGATGGACAAGTTTGAGTCGTGACGTTTGATCTCAGATCAGCCGACATTATCGTCTCCCCCTGACACTCTCTTAAGGAGAAGCCGTCTCATTCGCTCAGCAGACGACTGGCAGAATTCAAGAAGCCCCAGAGGAAATTACTCTAAAGAATTCTTGCTTTATTTGTCTCCATCACAAGATGGAGGGGGCGGGGCGGGATAGGCTTACCACATCGACCGTTCATTGATAAGGTTGGACGTCTCACACAGACATACATACACACATACATACATACACACAGACATACATACACACATACAGGGGGATAATTCTCACACATTTGTAGTTGGAGTATGACACATACACACACACACATACATACACATACAAGGGGATAAGTCTCACACATTTGTAGTTAGAATTTACTCACCCGACATTAAAAGTGATCTGGAATGGCTCTCACGCATTTGGGGGGGGGGGGGTGATATACAAATACAACAAGTGAATTTATATCTTAATGCATCTGAGGCAACGTCTGCGGTAGAAAAATCAGTAGCGAGGGGCGTCGGAAAAGTCGGAGACGGGGATGGAGGGGCGTCGGAAAAGTTGGGGATGGGGGGGGGGGGGAACAAAGAAAAGGATATCCATGTCTAAGAGCTAATCCCTTGTTATCTGAACGCTCTAAGTAAGTTCTCATCACGTGACTAATACGAGTGTCGTCAGCATCTGACTGGTGTCTCCGTCTGTCAGTGACACATCAGTGACACAGGCCGTCTCTCAATGACAGACGAGCCTGGTGTACTGTGGGTAAGCCAGATCTTGATGCTGGTGTAGACTGGTATCAAAGGCTCCAGATGGTGTTGAGACAACACCAGACCAGCTTTCATTAACGGCACAACCTGAGCTGGTTGTAATCCTAATCCGATAAGTTGGGAATTACCGTCTAACAACTAAAGCAGATCAACCCTAACACAAAACATGAATTTTGAGAATAATGGACTCACTACTTTTGGCACTTTGAGAGGGATATTCTAGACTTTTTTTTATCAAAGTATGAATAACATCAACCTGACCTTAATCTAGCTCTACGCAAACCGTAATCCCGATCTACCTTGATCTTTATCCAAATCTTACCTTGATCTAACGACCTCGATACATTACTGCGGCCATTTTGTTTTGAATTATAGTGTGGCTGGTTTAAAAACTTTGAGGCAACTCCAAATTCCCCAACAATCCTTGAACTCACGGCACGGAAATCTGGCCCTCGCATATTGTTATAGTAGCCCATAGAATTAAAAAAAAAAACTACATTCTTCTATAGTAAAGTTGTATGGTTGGAGTATAAAAACATAATTTGATTATGATAGTTTGTGAATGGTAGGTAGTGATACTTTTGTGAATGTTTGCTGCAGTTTCTGTAAATCACTAATGACTATCACTATATCATAACCTCCGAGTGCGTGACGTCATAACCTTTGAGTGCGTGACGACATAACCTCCTAGTGCATGACGTCATAACCGCCGAGTGCGTGTCGTCATAACCTCCGGCGCTACAGAGTGACGTCAACAGGGCCACGAGCACTGCCGTCGTGTGAGAACCCCTGTCAGTTGCCGCCCACTGATGATCAATTTGTCCTGACAATTTGAGCCCCGACTGCCCCACGCCGGGCTCTGGGCGGAACCTTGCTCCGTCCCTAGAACCTGTGGACGGGCGAGCTAATGGAATTGAAAGAAGATTGTAAAGATCTGATAACGCTGGTCTTAATAATGGCTCCAGATCTGAGATCAGTGGGCGAATTCAGGTTTCTTGGAGAATTATTTCATCGTTATGAAAGCATTCGTTTCAATACGCTTCTCGTTCATTTCCCGGGGGTCGGGACAGCTCCCGGGGGTGGGGCAAGTTCTTGGACGGAGCCGGGTCTAAAGATATCTCATTGTTTTACTCAGGATCGGAGGAGACGGAGGATAAAGACGGGAGGGGGTCCCCTGGGAGGTGTGTTTTCTGACGGAGTTTCCAGAAGCTTCTGCTGGTAACGGAGCGGCGGTTAATTGCACGGAACAGAATCAAAAGGTGGCCAGGGTATCACAAGATGGCCAGGGTATCACAAGGTGGCCCTGGGATCACAAGATGGCCCTGGGATCACAAGATGGCCAGGGTATCACAAGATGGCCGAGCCTTGGAACATCAATCATCTTCATCAGTCGGATCATATTTTTGTAATTAACAGTCTGTGATCAAGTCATTAGACCATTTGTAGTGGTGTGAGAAAGTCATTAGACCATTTGTAGTGGTGTGAGAAAGTCATTAGACCATTTGTAGTGCCGCGAGAAAGTCATTAGACCATTTGTAGTGCCGTGAGAAAGTCATTAGACCATTTGTAGTGCCGTGAGAAAGTCATTAGACCATTTGTAGTGCCGTGAGAAAGTCATTAGACCATTTGTAGTGGTGTGAGAAAGTATTTAGACCATTTGTAGTGCCGCGAGAAAGTCATTAGACCATTTGTAGTGCCGCGAGAAAGTCATTAGACCATTTGTAGTGGTGTGAGAAAGTCATTAGACCATTTGTAGTGGTGTGAGAAAGTCATTAGACCATTTGTAGTGGTGTGAGAAAGTCATTAGACCATTTGTAGTGCCGTGAGAAAGTCATTAGACCATTTGTAGTGCCGTGAGAAAGTCATTAGACCATTTGTAGTGCCTTGAGAAAGTCATTAGACCATTTGTAGTGCCTTGAGAAAGTCATTAGACCATTTGTAGTGCCGTTAGACCATTTGTAGTGCCGTAAGAAAGTCATTAGACCATTTGTAGTGGTGTGAGAAAGTCATTAGACCATTTGTAGTGGTGTGAGAAAGTCATTAGACCATTTGTAGTGGTGTGAGAAAGTCATTAGACCATTTGTAGTGGTGTGAGAAAGTCATTAGACCATTTGTAGTGCCGCGAGAAAGTCATTAGACCATTTGTAGTGGTGTGAGAAAGTCATTAGACCATTTGTAGTGGTGTGAGAAAGTCATTAGACCATTTGTAGTGCCGTGAGAAAGTCATTAGACCATTTGTAGTGGTGTGAGAAAGTCATTAGACCATTTGTAGTGGTGTGAGAAAGTCATTAGACCATTTGTAGTGCCGTGAGAAAGTCATTAGACCATTTGTAGTGCCGTGAGAAAGTCATTAGACCATTTGTAGTGGTGTGAGAAAGTCATTAGACCATTTGTAGTGGTGTGAGAAAGTCATTAGACCATTTGTAGTGCCTTGAGAAAGTCATTAGACCATTTGTAGTGGTGTGAGAAAGTCATTAGACCATTTGTAGTGGTGTGAGAAAGTCATTAGACCATTTGTAGTGGTGTGAGAAAGTCATTAGACCATTTGTAGTGGTGTGAGAAAGTCATTAGACCATTTGTAGTGGTGTGAGAAAGTCATTAGACCATTTGTAGTGGTGTGAGAAAGTCATTAGACCATTTGTAGTGGTGTGAGAAAGTCATTAGACCATTTGTAGTGGTGTGAGAAAGTCATTAGACCATTTGTAGTGCCTTGAGAAAGTCATTAGACCATTTGTAGTGGTGTGAGAAAGTCATTAGACCATTTGTAGTGCCGTGAGAAAGTCATTAGACCATTTGTAGTGGTGTGAGAAAGTCATTAGACCATTTGTAGTGGTGTGAGAAAGTCATTAGACCATTTGTAGTGGTGTGAGAAAGTCATTAGACCATTTGTAGTGGTGTGAGAAAGTCATTAGACCATTTGTAGTGGTGTGAGAAAGTCATTAGACCATTTGTACTGCTCTGTTTCTTGCCATAATGTGCGAGAGTGACAAGATTTTGTGACGATGTGACAGTAATGTGACACAAGTGAATCGTTTCACGCATCATTTCACAAGCTCAGTGACAAGTGACAAGATTTTGTGTTGGTGCAGTTCGTTTGGCTCAAATCGTGAGCCAACCATCTCTATTAGGAGCCAACCGTCTCTAGTAGGAGCCAACCATCTCCATCTCTAGTAGGAGCCAACCATCTCTTGTAGGAGCCAACCATCTCTTGTAGGAGCCAACCATCTCTTGTAGGCGCACCGATCCTCGAAACTCAGAAATGACTGACCAGCTCAAGATGGTGTATCAACCAATGAATATATCAATAAATTAATCAACGTCTTTAAATAAATTTCTGATTAACAGTTTGGTCAAAAAGAACATTATTCTCTACCTAAATAAGTATTTTACAGCTCTACCCATAGTGCAGATTCTCTCCTGTAACCAAAAAGACAAACAAAAAAAAAATACAAAAAATATACAAACATGTAAACACGCTTCACCAGCCTAGCTAAACATTTTCTTTGGGTGTAAATTTTAGGTTTCTTCTGATGTGTAATGTTTTGATGACCCAATCTACGCTAGGTACTGCTGAGCTTGATGAAATGTTATGAAATGTTGATGTTATGCAACAAATCTGTCTTTAAGACAGCTATAGCTTTAATCAGGC